CCTGTTTTTTTTTTTTTATTATTATACAGTAGACATTTTTTTTTTTCAAATTACTTTTTGGAAATCAATGTTTCAGTATTGATAGCTTTATCCAGAAATGAAGGGATAAAACTGGTCAGAGGGCCAAAGTAAATTTTTAATTTACAACATTCATGCACTGCTTTATGCTCAGTTTTGATTTGATTTATTTAAAATCAAAAACAAACATAACATAAACCAAGAGGCACAGTTTATATGCTTTATATCCAGAAGCATCCCATTTTATTATTAGTCTTACAGACAATCAGCTTGATACCAACAATGGGTTTTCTAGCTAAAAATGGTTCGCTTCATACAGATTTTTTTTTTAAATTTTTTCCAAGGTAACAACAAAATTGTTGTTGGGCTACTGTAAGGGGCCCATGCCCACCTGTGATTTAGAATAAATTCACTATTAAAACTTTATATAAATTGATTTTGTCCTGATCTAAATTTAATGTGATAGACAGCAATCAATTTTAGTCACTTGATCCTGTATTCATTTTTTCAACAACTTATTTATTTGTAGGTTCTCCAATGCAAGGAGCAGGATCAAGTGATACTGAAACAGTACCACCAGGTTAGATGTTATTTACTATTTTGTGTCTCATGAAATTATCTGTTTTTAATGAGCACTATGTAAATGCTTAGATGTTTTTATTATTATTATTGTAATTATTATTATTACAGTATTATTTTTATTATTTTTACATTATATTTTTATTATTTTTACATTATATTTTTTTTTTATCAAAGTTACCGTATTTTATTGTATAGCCTACTTCAATTTTCACTTCAGATGAACATCTTGGTTATCTGGAAGACAAGCACCTGCTTCGTATCGCAGTGGGCATGGGAATGGAGTGGAAACAACTGGGTGTCAGACTGGGTCTCAGTTGGAACAGGATCCAACAAATATGGAGTGATAAGAGACGATTGCCAGAGAGCATAATGGATATGCTTACAGAATGGAGGAATCATCAGAATTACGAGAAAAATCAAGTGGAGATAATGTGCAGGGATTTGAAGGAGCAAGGACTCACAGAACTTGCTAACAATGTTTTTGGCTCGCAAACCTCAACAAAAGTACATGCTAGACGACCGTTACATCATAGACACCAGCAATATGATGGTAGGTAATTTATTCCTGAAATTGCAGTCCATCAGAGCAGATTGTTGATGTTCCTTTCTTTTACTTTTTTAAATAAAAAAGTAAGGATCAATAAAAAAGTAACAATAAATAAAAAAGTAAGGATGAAACACTATTGAAGCTATATTATATTTTTTTGTAAGTGTTTCACAACAGATGATACAACGATACAAAATCCTCAACATTCCTTCAAATGCTTCCTTCATCATCATCTTTTTGCT